ACAACTCCACAAAATTTATTCAAGTCACAATTTTAATGGTGCACGTCCACATACTCGTCAACTATCGTGTGCGTCTCTTCCAAACAATTTATATAACATCAATTCGGGAATTCATACCCTTAGAACCAAGTTTAAAAGTGTTACTTACCTCAAACCGTGTAATTTCTTACTCCGTTATGCCCTTGCCTCCTGAATTGGTCTCCTAAAGCATCTAGCCACAATTAATTCGATTCAGTCAATACAAATTATTGAAATTAATTTCATAATACTAATTTTCCAATAAAATACGAAATTTAACTCAAAAATTGCCTATGGGGCCCACATCTCGGAATCCGACAAAAGTTACAAAATCCGAAAGCCCATTCAACTACGAGTCCAACCATACCAATTTTACTAAATTCTGACATCAACTCGACCTCCAAATTCTCAAATCTTATTTTCAAATCCCTAAGTTCAAATTCCCGATTTAGACCTCAAAAACACGTAATCTAGTCGGATTATTCGATGATAATTCAATATTATGGAGTAGAAATGATCACAAGTGAACCTCACGATTTTTCGTGATTTCTCACTCAAAAATCGCCTCAACCCGTGTTGGAAATGTTAGAAATGACAAAAATCTCGGACGCCTCTGTTTTTAACATTCTGTTCAGGAATTTTGCTTCTGCGGACACTTAGCCGCTTTTGCGGCACCGCTTCTGCGGTCAAAATCCCGCTTATGTGGGTGCGCATCTGCGCGCAAACATCTTCTTCTGCGAACCAGTGGCTCCCAAGCCAAATATTGCTTCTGCAATCCTCCACGCGCAAGTGCGAGTCCACACTTGCGAAATTACTTTCGCATCTGCGCTATCTCCGCTTCTGCGCATCCCAACTCGCACCTGCGACCAATGTTCTGCAGGTGCGATTGCACTAGAAGGCATCACCTTCAATAGTCTTCCAAATTCAAAAATCGATCTGTTATCCATCTGAAACTCACCCGAGACCCTCGGGACTTCAACCAAATTTACCAACAAGTCCTAAAATATCATACGAACTTAGTCGAGCCTTCAAATCACATCAAACAACGCTAAAAACACGAATCATATCCCAATTCAAGCCTAATGAACTTTGAAATTTCAAATTTCTACAAACGACGTCGGAACCTATCTAATCACGTCCGATTAACCTCAAATTTTGCACACATGTCATAAATGACATAACGGACCTATTCAAATTTCCAGAATCGGATTCCCACCCCGATATCAAGAAGTCAACCCCTCGGTCAAACTTCCCAAAAATTCAATTTTCATCATTTCAAGCCTAATTCCACTACGGACCTCCAAATAATTTTCGGACATGCTCCTAAGTCCAAAATCACCATACGGAGCTATTGAAATCGTCAAAATTCAAATCCGAGGTCGTTTACACATAGGTCAACTTCCATTCAACTTTTCCAACTTAAGTTTCCAATTTTGAGACTAAGTGTCTTATTTCACTCCGAAATCCTTGCGGACCTGAACCAATTAACCCCGTAAGTCATAAAATAACTGTAAAGCACAATTTGAACAGTAAATGAAAAAACGGGGTTGTAATACTCGAAACGACCGATCGGGTTGTTATATTAACAAGGATGCCATACATCGTATTGGAATGGGATAGATGAAATGACGACTTGCATCCGATGTCCTATGTGATAAGAATGTGCCATCAAGATTTAAATGTAAGTTTTATAGAGTGGTTGTTAGACTAACTATGATGTATGGGTGGAGTGTTGGCCAGTCAAGAACTCACATATTCAGAAGACGAAAAGTATCAAAAATAAGGATGTTGAGATGGATGTGTGGACATATTAGGCGGAATATGGTTAAGAACGAAGATATACAGAGCAAGATGAGAGTAGCCTCCACGGTTGATAAGATAACGAAAGCGAGAATGAGATAGTTCGGGCATATGCAGAGGAGGTGCGTAGATGCCCCAATGAGGAGGTGCGAGAAATTGGCAGTGGCAAATCTTAGGAAAGGTAAAGGTAGACTGAAGAGGTATTGGGGAGACGTAATTAGGCGACATGACACATCTTCAGCTTATAGAGGACATAACCCTAAATAAGAATAAGAAGGCGTGAAAGATCCAGGATTTAGAGTAAAAGGTAATTAGTAAGTAGCCGAGCATTCTCTTTTCCGTAGGAGAGTACGGCTTTAGTTTGGAGCACCCTATTCTGCTCCCTTTGCGCCTTATCTGTAGTACTACAAGTATGCTAGTATTGTTTTATTCTTCGTTTCTATAACAACGTGATGTTGTTGCTGCTTAGGCTAGCTTACTATTTTTGTTGATACTTTGTTTTGCTAGTATTTTCGACATAGTGTCTTACTATTGTATTCCTTTTTACTAGTACTATCGTATTTTTTTCCTATTCTTTTACTAGTACTATTGTATTTTTTTCTATTCTTTTACTGTTGTATTATTCGCCAGTACTTTTGGCATAGTTTCTTTCTTATTTCTTCAAACCTATTATGGAATCGCTTTCTTTGAGCCGAGGGTTTATCGCAATCAACATCTCTATCTCTATAAGATAGGGGTAAGATCTGTGTACACTCTTTCCTTCCTAAACTTCACTTGTGAGATTTCACTTAGATATATTATTGTTGTTGTAGTTTTTTCTTCTTCTTTTTTTATTTTCTAACTTTGGGGAGACCTAACCTCAAAATAAATAGAAATAATGCAAGCGTAACCCCTTAACGGTCGCGTTTATTTTTGTATTTTCTCTTCTTATTATCCTTAGGTTGTTATTAGTTGAACTTTCGGATTTATCACGTTTTCTCTCTTTAACTTCTTAAAACTGTAATAATATCTGCCCTTCTCCTCATTCTTTGAATTCACTCTAGTCATATTCATTCACTAGTTAGTATATACGCGCTTCGCGCGGTCATAAGAGATAGGAGTAATATATTTAATATAATTTTTTTTTACAAAATTAATTGAGTTAAAGAGGATAAATTTTTGATATATATTATATGTGTGCATACGGACGGAATATATATAGTTCTATAAATGAATCAGATTCCAAATATACATATTTTCTTAATCAATTAACTCTTTGATCTTTTTAAAAGAAGTTTCAAGAAAATATCATTTCCTTACCCCTAAGAGAATTACGCGTACTTCTTCACCTTTAAATTATCTTCTTTTTTGGCATAAGGTTTATATTAAATTAAAGTTGATAGTTTTTCCTCCATATAAGTACTTATTTACTATAATCACAAGTCAATTACAGGCTTCAAGAGTGCTTTGTGTCACACATGTTGCATCATTCTAATATGAAGATAAATTTCGAAATCTTCTAAGAATAAAAGAAGTTAAAATGTAATGTCATATGTGTTAAAAAAAGAAAAATGTGAAAGACAGGACCAAAAGAAATCCACTTCTGTGACTACAAATGACTCTGACTTTCTTAGACAACCTAACTTCTTCTTCTCCTTCACCATTGATACTGCTTATAGGTGTTTGAAACTGCCAAAGTTCCAAACCTTTTCCTTGAACTCCATCCAGAAAAGGTTGTAGGCAAGTTGAAATTATTTTACCAATGATAATTAACGATCAGAAAGATCACTAAAGGCTCCACGAAAGTCGTGATCTCCACGAAAATCCTAACTAATTTATCAATAAACTGATCCAAGATTGACTTTAAAATAGACAGCACTTTGCTTCTCCAATTCATTCGAACTACAGATCTGCCTCATTTTAACAACCTCCTCCTCAGATACTCAAACAAATTATAGTTTATATCCATCTCGTACTTCGATCTCTTCACTATCTTTACACCTTCAGACCGCCAGTTACACATCCATTTCCGACATACTTACCCACTAAATTATCGCTTTTCCCACATTTTTTATCTCATGATTTTCCTATTTATAACCTCCAGAATTAACAAACTCTTATAAAAGTCCAGCCAAAATTGTGTTAAGATACAAATTCTCCTGAAAGTCAAATAAAAAATTTAGATGTAAATCTCACGAAAAGGAAGGTCGCAACTATAAGAAGCTCTAGGAATTTTTTCATGCCTTCTTTACTCAACTTTTTAAAGATTGATCATATCTCTGTATATAAATATATAATTTATTGATAGGTAAATAAAAGGAGGAAAACAAACTACCATGACATCCATATCCGTGTCTACCAAATTAGGAAAAACTAAGAATAAGACGTACCAACGATCGTAACGACATTGAACAAAAGGCTAGCAACAGACGCAATAAATGATAAATAGATGAGCGAATTTAGTAAAAATACTAAATCAACATGACAAAAATAGTGCTAAAGCTAGTAAGAGAAAAAAAGAAAAACACAAGCAAGATGAGAAGATGAATACCAAAGGAGGCGGCATATGAGCGGTTAGGGAAGAAATGTTTCTTTTATTTAATAGTGACGACTTTTGGGATTCTTTTTTATCGGATGTATCCAAAGAGACATGGCTTTTGGACTGCTAATATTAACTAGAATACGTACCCGCGCGATGCGCGGATTGTTTCAAAGAAAAAAATGATATAGTAGAAACATGTCTTTATTGTAGACTAAATTTAGCGATCACATTCAAAAAATAAATATATGAATTTCATAGGATTGTATCTATGCGAGGGACCACCAATATTTATGCACAGAAACATGATTAGCAGAGAAGGTTGGATAACTGTAATAAGCCAAAAGCTAAAGTAGATTTCCCAAAATTCATTTCGAGTTCATATACACATCGTCCATAGTTGCAGGGAAAGTAAAATAATGATACAAAATCTCAACCAATAATCAAACATATATTCATAGTAGATATAAAATAACCGGAGTTTTGTTATAGTTAATTTGGATAAACACCAAATCCAAGAGAACATACGTGCGATAGAAGGCAGCAACATTCAATTTTTACTATTAATTATAATATTTCTAAACGAAATTAGCGATTTCTGTGTAAATTTGAATAGCTTAGCTGTTACAACATACTGGAGTAATGCTACATAAGTACTTAGCTTTTAAAAACGATTAGGCCACCTGAAAAAGCAGAAATTTGTCTCAAGTTATTATCAGAAAAAACAAAGAACAGTTATACATATGTGTAATTTACAGTAATTAAGACATCACATTTTGTTGTGGTGTACTTTGGATCAGAAGTATATGAGAACATGATCAAGTCAGTCATGTTGGTTGATGATATAAACGACGACTCACATGGATAACTAAGATCTTGGAAATACCCAATCCTTGTTAGCATAATCTATATAACAGTTTTAAGTCTTAAATTAAATGCATACATTAAAAATATTAATTCTCATCAAAATTTTATGTCACTTACAAACATAACAGTGATGTTGTTGCAATCGAAAATACATTCATCATAAGCTACATGTTCCTTTATAGCTGAGGCAAAGTTTGCATACTTAAGGTAACTTTTCTTACCTGTAGAAACAAATGTATGTTGCAGACTATTAGATGAAATAATAAGTAGAACTTTTGGTACTCTTAGTGAAACAAAAGAATGTGAAATGTTAAAAGATTTTACGAACAATATGTTGCCTTTATTGTTCCACGCGAATCCACCCTCAACCACACATACATAGTTGCATAAAAAGATGGCAACACTTATTACAGTCATTCTAACTACTACCGCTGTGAAAGTCCACCAGCACGAACAACTATCTACATCAGAAAAAAATATCTCATTGAATTTATACAACAAATATATTTTTTTGAGCTGCAAAAATTTAAAAACAATACATTTATCAGCCTTTCGGCTTTGATCAAGTGAGGGAGATGGGGTTTTGCTTAACTCACAAAGCCACGCCTTTTCATCTTTGCCCCCACCCCCCACCCATCCAACACACCCAAAAGAAACACAAGAGTGGAAAGGATCTCTAACCTTCTCATGATCCCAGATGTTCAGTATAAAAGGATCTCGCCTAGTTTAGTTCCAACTCATGATGTTATTTCTTCAATTCTTGGGAAAAGGAGTCAGATTAAATCTATCATTTAATTACATTTCTGCAAAATTAGTGTGTTGTGTATGACTCTCAAGTACTACGAAAGCTATCTACAAACACAAAACAATGATGCAATAAAGTGAATAGGCAACTTCATGGAGAAAAAATTAGACTACATAGTTAGCTGGTCAGAAGCAAACCTTAGACATCAAAAGAATGTTCTTTGCATGTTCACCTAGCAGCTTCCGAACTTCCACGAGATCTGAACCCTTACGAACAAAAGAAAACGCAATCACGTCAATATGATTCGGAACTCCCCAGTTTAAAATGTCATCCTTGTCTTTATCTGTCAATGTTGGCAGATCCACAATTACTCCCAGGAGATTGACATTCTTTCTTTCACCAAGAACAACAGTGTTCTCGTAGCGGCATCGTACCAAACCGTTCTCTTTGTCACAAGACAAAACTGTAAAGGTGATTGTGCCATCTGCACAGAGGATCACACTTTGTGGCTTTACATCCTCTGCTAACTTTTTGTAGCTCATGCATATCATACTCTCATCACCTTTAATTTGTGATCTCCTGACCATGTTTAAGTTGAACAAGCTTAGAATCTTTTAAAAACAATGTTCGAATTTCTGGACCCTACAAGATGAAAATGAAGTGTCAGAACTTTCCCATAAAAAGGTGAAGGCAAGACAGGGCTAGACAATCATATATCAGTAAATATACTTCTTAATAGGCGTAATTCTGGCACGTCGGCGAGTCTTGCTGCTGCACAAATCAAAGATTTTACAGCTTCTCTACACTCCTCAGGACATGTCCTATAAACAAAAATTACCCAGAATGAACTAACAGGTGGTAAATCATCTTGTATTGAGAAGGGAAAAAAAGGTAATCGAAATCTGTTATGAAAATTTTATTTACAGCCGTTGTATAAAGCAACAATCATTATAACTAACACGAATATATCAAAATAAGCCATCATTAGAATAAAAAAGTTGACCAAACATTTAATTACCAGTATATTTTATGGGAAGCTCTAGAAGCAAGTTGCAATTTTCTACCTGTGTAAATATAAGCACAACTCATGTGCTATGTGCAAAGTTAATGATAAGACATGCAAAATATGATGGTTAATGCAATGTAACATGAAATTTAAATGATGACCTTCACACAAGTTGCTTTAAGTGAAGCATTTGACAAAATGTATCTCAATGTTCATGTACATACGGATGTTATCATCTTGCTTGATAGACTCTACGTCCTCATAACTCACAACTTCGCCGATGATATCTACAAAGCAAGGAAATATGTGCAAAATTAGTAATCATTATAGACAATATAAATGAAGATTGTAAAAGAATTAAACAGTTAGATGTATATTCCAAAGGCAGCTGGTATCAATTTTTCTGAGTTTTGTTAAAAGGGAAGGTTTCAGAGAATGCAAGGAAAGTGTGGGCATGAACTCCATTAGCTACCTATGGAAGTAAGAGATCAAAAGCTAACCTTAGGCCTTCATAAAACCACTGAAATACTATCTGTAAATACTATATAAAGTAGTACCAAAAATATACCGATGTACTGGAGATCTTCAGAGAAATGGTACAGTACTAACCTTTCTTTAGTTCCATATGCCTACAAAGGCCTTCTAGAAATCAGATTATGATTTTCGACAGAGGATTTAACAATGTCAAGAAATTCAACTTTAATCTAAAACTTAATCTTTGATCTTATGTACTGTAATTAGTATTGATTTAGTTCACACTTAGAGTTCATAAGATAGAACTGGAAAATAAAATTGGAAAAAATGAGAGAAATTTAATTACCAAATAGCTCAGTATTGTCAAATTCTTGGGGATTTGACAGCTGCTCATAGGTTCTAAATTTGAAAATACACATGTTGAAGTGTGGATCATGTATTTCGTCAACAATGATCTTATGCGTGAACATCAACTTAAACTTGTGATCTTTGGTCTTCAGCTTCATATTATTTGGACAAACTACGAAATTCTTCATGATGTACAAACCCATTTCCTTAATTTCTTATTTGAACCTTTGGATAAAAAACCTGCCAATACTTGCGTGAATGCGGTCGCCCTACAAAAAAACTCAATTAGTTAAAATGACTAAGTTATTCTGTATATGACTGTAATATACTTATGCATATGTAAACAATGACAAAATAGAAAGTAATTATAAAGTTTTAAGCAATACCTTTTCATCCATCATAACAATCTCAATTGAAAAAGGGTTGTCAGGCCTGTCGCGATCCGGATTTTTCCAAAGCCTGACAATACGAACTTTTAACTTCCAATTCATTGACTTGCTGTTAATTTCAGTAACAAAATTGATTTCAGCCGCCATTATATCCTGAAATAGACAGAGGTATTTGTAAATATAAGTAGAAACTAAAACTTCACGGAAATATCAGTTAAAGGAATATAATCTCAACTGGAATAAAGATTGTTCATGAAATACAAATCATACTGGTCACCTCTTGTACTCTAGAATTGCTGTTTGATATGCACACGATGGAGAAAGAATATAACTATATACTGTAAAAGTAGAACTGATTTGATAAAAATGTGAAATCATGTTACTGGAATCCTGGGCAGAAGAGTTCGTGGGTAAGGAGTTGATATCGTGGTGAGACATCGTGGGTTTGAGGTGCTGAATTTGGAGGATAAAATTTTTAGGGCAAATAGATGAAAATGGCGTTCCCAGTTGCCGTTTTGAAGGTTTCAAAATGTATGTATATACCTATTTAATAGGAATTGCTTTTTCTTTAAAAAGAAAACGTAGAAACTACTTCTTCTTTTTTTAAATATAGAATAACGTAGAAACTACTTTTTTTTAAAATATAGAATACCTAATTAACTGTTTTCAAATTTCAAAATTTCAAAATAGAAACTAATTTAACCTAAAATAACTGATTTGTCCTAAAGTTGATGGCATTTTATATGTGGAACACTTGGCAAATTTTTAGGTCTGACTTCTTTCCTTTTAAGTAAANAGGAAGTTGGGGAAGGGGAAGAAAAGAAGGTAGAGGGTACTGTATAAAAGACTTCTATTGATATCATCAGATTAATTATAAGCTTTGATGGTGTATTTAGCTTTGAAAATGTTTTTATTGGCTTATAATAACTTTTCCCTAAGAATTATTCAAAGATGAGAGTAAATTTGAATCTTTAGATGATTATGTGTTTATCCACAGAAACATTATAGGGAAATGCATTGGTCAATAATTTCATTGGCAATTTTTACCTGTATTTAGACATCAAACTTGCAAGTCCCAAAAAGTAGTTCAAAATTTGGCGAAATCACACAATATGATGAGACTAAAGCTAGCTCAATTTGTTTTTACTCACAACTACTCGACTGCAATAACAAGCTCAAAGTTATTATCAAATTATACTTATGCACAATAATTAGGAACTTAGGAGTCTTGATTGTTTACCCTAAAAAAACGGATAACAATTGAATTTATATGTGATTTTAAGGATATGCGGATTAATTCAATACAAACGATAAATTGCGTTAGATTAAACAGATAAAAGATGTAATAAATTATCAAACCAATCAAGAGGAGTGATCCCGGACTTAGTAACAGCTTAATGAAATGTCTGCCTTCGATCCCGAGCTCATGTTACTGGTGATTTGATGAACAAAAATAAGAACTTTGAATAACAGAGTAAATAAGAGTATATTTCCTTGATATGCGTGTTACAGCGTGGTTAATGAATAATCAGACCCCTCTTTATATAGTAGGGGGAGTTTTACCCTAAGTACAATTACATAAAAGGTAAAAAATTTATGTTTAACTAATTACCGTTTCTCTGTCGATACGTGCCGAGATCCACGCCGTGATAGCCGGCTGGTCGCGGATATCATGGTCTTTTGTTTGTCGTGCTCGATTATCTGGTAATGCTCTCCGAGGCTTTTGGGGTTCGAACCGGACCTGGGGGTCATGGCCCCGATACTCCCGAAGGCAGGTATTTTGCCCGGACCCCGGATCATGGGGCCCCTTGCCTCGATTCCGATTTCTTGCCTTTGCGTTTCTTGATCCGTTCGCTTCATCGGAAACCGAGGCGTCCCATGGGCTCAATTTCACCCGTATACGGATAGTCCCCTCGTTTCTCGGAGAGTAAGTTTACAGAAATGACGAGAAACGACATGAGCACTTCGATTCCTTCTTCAATACGCCGTGACAAAAACGACAAAGAATCTGAAACGTCCCGTCAGTCGCATCGTAATGACTACAAACGTCCCATGGGCTCGATTTCACCCATATACATTATTAAAAAAGGATTTTATTTTATATTATGCAACGACAAGGACTTAGAAATATAAGGTGCTTCAAGGAACAAGTTGGTTTTAGTAACTTATCGCTACTACTCGCTTGAAGATCTTTTTTTTGTTAGCTCGAAAAGTCACACATATTAATTCACATTGAACACCTTGTGAAATTCTCACATTAAAGCATCCACTGTGCCAAGAACCCACCACCAACTCTAGCTCAGGAGTAGAGTTACCCTTAATATTTTTCCTTAAAAAAATATAATAAAGACCGAGTAAAAGCCTATGTCATAATATTTGTGTGATCGTAAGATTTTTAAAATTTGTAACTTTAAACCCGGAGTATAATATTTGTATGTTTATACAAACTTCTTATTAAAAGTAAGAAAATTTAAATTATTTTCATATATAAAAGTGTATCATTTTTTTGGAGTGAATAAATAAAAACAGAATTAGTTTTAGCACGATGATGGAAGGTTCCAAAAGTACCTCATTCTATGTTCCTATTTGTTTTAAAGTGGATGTTACCTTTTTCAAATAACCTAAATTTTGTGTTTATGTGATATTTTTGGGGGAAAAAACCTTTAAAAGTTGGGGAAAAAAATTAGAAGTCGTGTTGTACTTGTTTGACAATTCAAAGCGAGGTCAAAATCCATTCCAACTATAAAACTTGAAAAGGAAATTGGCAAAAACGCTTTCTCACATTGTTTTTGAGATCTTTTCTTTAATTTTTCTTTTTATCCCTAAAGGTATCTAATACGGAACAAACACGTTTGAATAAGACATGAGTAAAATAAAATAAAAAATACAATTGTACTTGCAATTGATGTTGAAAAGAAGTTTACGAAATAACTCATAAATACTAAAACCAATGAAATTGAATTTGAACAGAAACTTCACCTTGTATGGGCCAAAAATTATCCCTATGCATGGGTCAAATCAACATTAGGAAAGCCCATAAAGGCTGCCATGCGTCACCAATGTGACTTCAACAAAGGATAAGCCGAGGTCGAGGAGTCAACAATTCCCTCGGTCGAGGACGAGTTCTCCCTTTAACAAATGGCTAGTTTTTAGAATCTTAAAAGGAATATTCTAATGAATATTCCCAAAATCTGTACTATTAGGATTTTTGTGGCACATGCTTCCATATAAAAAGAAAGATATGTAGCTTTGGAAAGGGGGTGGGGACACTCATTGTAAAAGAAGCATCACTTAGACATTCTCTGAATATTCTCACTTGATATACATACAAAACATACCTTTTTCCAGATCAATTCTTAATGTTTTCTCT